TAGACATGCCCTGGGGCTTTGTCTTAAGATTCCTTTAGTACAGTGGTTCTCAACCATTTTTGTACCAGGACCCATTTGTAAACACTGATGACCAGTCCCGACCCAGTGTCCCTTACTCCTGACCTGCTGCCCTCTGCTCCCAGTCCTCAGCCCTCTAGTGTGTGGGGCAGGGAGTGGGTGCATAAGGAAGTGAGGATGGGGAAGTGGGGAGCCCAAGCAGCGCCACCGTTTCCCATGTTTTTCTCCTTTAAAGGAGAATCCATTTAAAAGTTTGTTGATCCGTTTTTAAAGTTTATTTGCGACCTTTCATATATTCCTGTGACCCACTTTTGGGTTGCGACCCATGGGTTGAAAAACACTGCTTTAGTGCTGACCCTATTTTACTTTTCAGTTCTTTGCACTGAAAATGTGACAGTTTTCAGATGGATATACATTATACTTGAAATCAGAGTATCTGGGCACATCTACACAAGATGCTTAATGCGTAGTAGACTAATTCTAGTGCATATTAGCATGTCAGGGTAAAATCTGTGCTAATGTGCACTTGAATTAGTCTACTGTGCATTAAGCGTCATGAAAAGACCGTGTGCCATTATTACTGCACATTAGCACCAGCTACTATGCATTTATGCAGTACCTCATATTAGAGGTACTAAACTTAATGCACAGTAGCAATGGCACATTAATGCACGTTTAGACATGCCCTGTTTGTAAGTCCATGTGAAAATCAGCATAAATTATGCACCAATAACTTGAAAACACAATTCTAAAATGACATAATAGCAACCATCAGAGCCCTGCAGTAGTAAAGGCACATGGAACATGTCTTCTATTCATACAGCTGCCAAATATGAAGTTGTTGATAGAAGAAATGTTGGGGTGAACTTTACCTTTAAGATGTCACACTGTGGGAATGCTACTGCTTTTCATAGTTTTTCCATTTTATTTCAATATTTTCATATCTTTAAAAGCGGAAAGAACATTTTAAACTTTCCAAAGTGACTCTGGATATTCACAGCTCAAAAGACTGAATCCGGACAGACGTTGTGAGCAAGTCTTTTCTTTTTAGGGGTTTATTCTCCTCACAGAAGTGCTTAGGGCACTGCGATAGAATGACCTTCCTTCTAACCAATGTGGACTATATATAGTCTTTCTCTGGAAAAAAGGGCTACTGAAGAGTAAGACAAAGCACACTGTCTTTTCTTCAGGGGCTGGAGACAGTTCTTATAGCCTTGCTGACTTGAGGGTAGTGGATCAAGCTTGTATTGTGTCCAACATTTAAAAGCATTGTGGTACCACTCACCAATTGCACTAGCCATCTCACATACTATTCAAGGGTTAAAAACTTTGTTTAGAGGCTGAAAAGCATCTTTAAACATTTCCAAGTAAAAATGAACTTGTCCTAGGAACTGCAAGGGATTTACCATGGCTATCTTACAGTTTGTTCCTTTCAAGAATACCAATATATGATTTTAAATACAGGACTATATTTGCAAGCATTTACTCTAGCTTCAAAATGCTACAGAATGACTTAGTTTGTCTGCTGGATCCTGCATACTTTTCAGCTGAATTCATAATAAAACTGTTATTACTTCTAAACAAGCAGAATTATTTTGGGCTCTGGGATTCTGTTACTTATTTTGGGTGGACATTGGTGGATGGATAAAAACTCCGATTAATCGAATTCTCTTGTCACTGCCTTGAGTTACAATTGTAATAAATTGAAAAAGCAGCAGCACAGCTTTACAATTTGCAAAATGCAAAAAATAGCTAAGTCAGAAATTTAGCTAGCTAGTAATTTTTCTGGCATACACTGTTTTACCCTTTAAATATGGGTGAAACCCAGATTAGTCATATAAGCACCTAAATGGGATTTACCTCAAATTTAGCTCATTTTTTAAAATCCAGCAGCCACAACACCTTTTGGGCACCTAAATTCTTTAGACAATTTACATGTTGTGATGTGAAGATGCCTCTGTGTGTAAATTTAGGCTTCTTTATACAGTATAGTTAAAAGTTGTAAGACCCAGGAATGCTGATGGATCTTACAGTATTCCTGGATCTTACAGCTGCACCTCCAGATATGTAATATATCTCATTCAATGCACCAAATGCCCTGATGGAAAATATGTACGAGAGACCAAACAACAACTGTGCACCAGAATGAATGCATACTGGAAATCTATCAAAGACAAGAATACCCAATTACCTGTGGGGGCACATTTCTCACAAGAAAACCACTCTCTCTCCAATCTCTTAGTTCTAATCCTAAAAAGTAATTTACAAAATGCCTTTCACAGACAAGCCTACAAACTTCACTTCATCAACCTACTGGATACAAAAAATCATGCTCTTAATATAGACACTGGATTTATGATGCATTATAAACACCCGACTAACACCCGACTCCCCAGGTACCTCTCCAATATTTACCAGCTACATTCATTCCCCCCTCCACCTCCCCACAATCTGTCTCTCACCCACTGACTCCTCAATTTACCTCTTCACTGACTGCCTATCTTGCATGCATACCAGCCCAGCCTCTGGCTTCTTTACTATTTATTTCATACACGAAGAGCACAGACCAACTGCAGATGCTTCGTCAGCCCGATGAAGGGTATTTGTACCCAAAGGCTTGCAAAGAAAAATTTTTACAACTATTTGAATAGGTTAATAAAAGATACCACATTTACCTAAAGAACCTTGTCTGCCTTTCCTTTCTGTGAAACTTGTACAAACCTGTTTTTACTGACCTCCCACAACATTATCACAATCACCTCATTGTTTGCCCAAATTCAATTCCCAAGCTGACTTTCTTAAGCAATGGCCCTCTTTCATAGAACCACCTGGCAGGGGAAACACCATGTATCAGGACATGTGAAAGCAGTTTTCCTTGAGCATTCCTGGAGATAACTGTTCTTCTGGTGTGCTTTAGTACCCACTGAAAGGGGCAACGTGTAGGGGGTGCACAGGGGTGCACATGCACCCCCTGAGAATGCTGGTGTACCCCGTCAGGCTGTGCTTCCTGTTTAGCTGGCGTGCAGGAGTGCAGGTGGGAACACCAGTTCCCCCCCGTGAGTGCTGGTCGGGGAGTGGGGCCACCAGCAAATGTGACTGTGTGCTGCTTCCAGAAGTGGGACTTCTGGAAGCGGCATGGCCGCTTTTATGGTGAGTGAGCTCAGCCACGGGGAACACCCCTCCAGCCCCGCGTTGGCTAGTGGAATCAGCTGCTGGGGGACCGCCCCCCAGGTGCTGACTGGTGTTGGGGGGGGCACAAGAGGCACTAGACACCTATGCCCATTGAGGTCTTGGGGCTTAAAACCCATTTTATGGAAATGGGAGGTTCCTTCCTAGTTTGCTCCTGCAGTCATATGGCTGAGGGCAGGTGAAACTTGGGAGCATCTGAACCCTAAACCTCTGGGCTTGGGCCTGCATGTAGGATGTCTGCCAGTTGTCGGGCCACTTATGGTTCTGGACTGACTCTCGGATTTGGACTTGATTTGGCCGATTTGGCTTGGAACACAAAACATTTCTTCTAAAAACCCCCCCAAACCTTCATGTCACTGAGTCTTTTCAAGAGTCTTCAACAAACCCCAGACACTCTGATCTTCCACTCAGATACCTTCACGGGTTCTCCTGTATCAACTTATCCTTCTAAGATGGCTTTCGTACAGAATCCAACAACTTTTGAGGTAATTTTCAGCACCTACCCATCTGCCACAACTGCGAAGTTTCATGCTCGTCCCCATCCTAAGCACACCAATGCTTGGGGCAGCACATATAGACCTTAATTAGAGCATTATGATTGGTCAGACAATATCTGCTTATATGTAAAGTATTTAATGAGTCAATATAAAATAATTTGCATATACATAAAACACATGGTGTTGCAAAGACTTGGCTGCCATAACTACATCTTGAGGACGATCATTTACATACACCATATTGATGTTGATTTGTACATGGCTTGTTAGAACAGCTCAGATGTGATTGCAGAGAAGTAAAAGATTAATTGAAATAGATTCTCTCCCCACAGAAAGGGTTAAGAGTCTTTGCAGACTCCCCACTACAAAAATCTATGGATAAGTTTCTCAGTTCTGTTCCATCCCCTTTATGCTTGATAAGAGTCTGCATTGGCATGAAGGGATCTAACAGCCCTGAGTCTGGCCAGATACTACAGAGCAGGAATCAAGTAGGACACCCGAATGGCTGCCTTCTAAAGATCCCTCAGAAGTTCTAGTGTAGAAGGCAAGCTGGGACAGGCAGCCATAATTCTGACAGGCCTTAAAACCAGCATTAGTTACCAGCTCCAGCTATAATAACTATGTAATGTACCATTTATAATTCTGTCTGTATCTTGAGATACACTTGCATAACGTTTTGAACTTCTCTGGGTAAGCTAAAAAAACAGAATTAATAAAAGTAATTGATATACAAGTCGAATGAAGGTGGGTTCCTGTGGATATTCTGAGAGGTGTAAAAACCTAAATAAAGAGACAAAGCTAAAATGCATGACAACATATTATATTCAAAATATTTTTGGTTTTGCTTGTGTGTCATTCAAAAGCTGGTAGCTTATCGTAATTTTGTTAAGAATGTACTTTATTTAAAGATCATTCATGTAGGCACTCCTTAGCAAATTTTGACAATGTATTACTAAATAATTAATGCTATAGCAATAATTCCACTATAGTTCTAGAGAAGATGTATTACTACTAGTCATTACCTGGCACTGTTTTTGGTACATTTTTAGTTCCTGCTGGAGTTTCAGATTTTCCTCTTCTAGTTTATTTCTGTTTATGGCTATTTCATTCACAGTAAACTTTAATTTTTCAATAATGAACTCATCCTTCTCAGCTCTTGGCTGGCTGGAGGTAATTGTGTCATCCTTTTTGTGCTTCTTACTGCTGATTTGGAATTGATAATTCTGCGTCTGTTTCTACATAATAAAATCATTTCAGTGAAATTTCATAATTATTTTAATCCCTATTTTAATCTACTTCATTATTTACAATCAATAGGCATCTTTCCATTGACTTCAATGGGAATTGGATAAAGTGTCACAGAGACCCTGGCACACTTTTGACAATTTACTTGCTATTTTTTCAAAGGACAAGGATTGTGTCATTTTTGTCTTCTTTGTACTGCCTCAGGTACTTGGCCTTTAGTAGGAAAATGTAAAAGAGATTCTGAAAATTTAAGCATGAAGGGTTTCCTGAAGTATTTTCTCACAATGTAAATAAATACTAAGGTGATTATATCATCATAGGGTTGGAAAGTATCTCAGAGGTCACCTAGTTCAACCCTCTGTACAGATGCAGAACTTCCTCTTTTTAAACCATACTTTGATGTGCTGGCTACAGAAAAATAAACACTAAGTGGAAAATATTAGAAAAACAAGCATACTATAGCATCATAGAATCATAGAGAAGTAGGGCTGGAAGGGACCTTTAGAGGTGATCTAGTCCAACGTCCCCAACCTGAGGCAGGATCATCCCTATCCAAGCCATCCTATATGAATCCACTGTCTAACCTTTTAGGAAAATGACACAGTAAACCCTGACACAGCCACAAGATATAAACTCTAATCTGCCACCGGTAAAGCAGACAGACCATGGTGGCCAATTTCCTGCTGCTGCAAAGGTTGTTAAAATAGCAATTGCTTGAGAGATCCGAGGAAGAGAGCCATGGCCCCTGCTACAGGCAAAAGCAAAATCCTCCACAGTTCGCACTAACCTGACCATAGGGTAAAATTCTAAAGATGGCAATCAGTCTAACCCTGGATGGAGGGGCAAGAGCCTCTAGCTGTAGCCAGCAACCTTTGGGTTTAAGTCTCAACAGGAGCATAGGCACACTGTAGTCAAAATCACCAGCTTTGGCTGCAGCCAACACCCAGTGCTTCTGGGGAAGGCTTAAGAAAACCCCAAAACCCTTGGCATGTAGCAGCAGGAGGCATAGGTGCCAACTTTTATTTTTGCTGGGGAGGGCCTAAGATGACACACATGTGGAAAGTTTTACACACTTCAGATGACAGCCCTCTTCCCAAGGGGGACCAGGGCCCTCAGGTCCCCACGTACTTGGCACCTCTGGCAGGAGGGGAAAAAAATTCCCTCCTGGTCCCATGTGACAACCAGTAAAGCCCAGAAGCATGGGAAATACCCATAGTAGAACATAAGCATAGTTACTCCTACATCACCTCTGACCAATGCCTATCCAATCTCTTCTTGTGGAACCTCCATCGTTGGAGGTGTTCAAGTTCCCTGGGCAGCCCATTTCAGTCTCACTTATAACAGTGAAAAGGTTTTTCCTAATATCTAATCAAAACCTACTTTGCTGCAACTTCAAGCCATTGATCCACATGCTACTCTCTGCAGCAAGGGAGGAAAGGTGTTTTCCCTCTTTTTTATGCCAGCCTTTCAGATATTTGAAGACTGCTATCATGTCCCTTTATAAGCACCACAAGCTAAAAATGCCTATTTCCTTCAGTCTCTCTTCATATGACTTGTCTTTCAAGCCCTTTATTGTTTTTGTCACCTGCCTCTGGACCCTCTACAACTTCTCCACCATCCTTATTAAAATGCAGAGCTCAAAACTACACACAGGACACGTCTACATGTGAAATACATTTGACACAATACATTCTGGCGGCACAGTTCATGCCAGAGTTTATTGCTTCTGGGCACAGCGTTATGGAGTGGATGGCTGGGGCATGAGGGTGTTACATTGCGGGGCTAGCCAGCAGGCAGCCTTGCACTGTAGCACCTTAATGCCCCAGGCAGCCCTGGTCACTGTCTACACGTGTTGCAGCACAGTAAATAACTCCACTGTAGAACAGTACTTGTGTTGGATAATACTATCCTATGGCAGACTGAATTAGTTTATTCCAGCCTAACAGCACTGCTTGTGTAGACAGTGAGGCTTTGTTGAGGAACTAATTAGGCAACTCCACAGTAAGCATCTCATGTAGATGCACCCACAGTATTCAAGATCAGGCCTAACCAGTGCTGAGTAAAGGGGCACTATCACCTACCTTTCACCTAATGAATTATCCCAAAACCACATTTGTTTTTTGTATAGCTGTATCACATTACAGACTCACATTAAGCCTGTGATCTATCAAGACTCCCACATATTTCTCTGTAGTGTTGCCATCCAGTCAGATGTCACCCATTTTGTATTAGTGATTATTCTTCCCAAGGTGTAGCACCCTGCATTTGTCAGTACCAGACTTCATCCTCTTAGCTCCAGCCCAGCTTTCTAATCTGGCAAGATTCTTCTGAATTGTACTCCCATCCTCTACTGTGTTCACAACCCTTCTTAGCTTCATGTTTTCTGAAAACTTGCTCAAGAAGCTATCTATGTCAGCATCCACACAGATTCACAAGTTTAGGGCTGGAAGGGACCTAGTGAGATCATTGGGACCAGCCCCACCTGCTCTGGGCAGGAAAGACTGCTGGGGTCAAATAACCCCAATGAGGTGTCCATTCAGTCTCCTTTTGAACATCTCCAGGATAGGTGCCTGCATCACCCCCACTGGGAGTCTATTCCAGAGTCTGGTCGCAGGAACCGTGAAGAAGTTTTTTCTTATATTCAGTCTGAAACCTTCTAGGAGTTTATGACCATTGCTCTTGGTTTTCCCCTGAGGCACTTTGGTGAATAGTTATTTACTGTGCCCCTGATGCTCTTCCCTGACATATTTGTAAGCTGCCACCAAATCTCCCCAGTCTTCTCTTTTCTAGGCTGAAAAGTCCCATGTCTGCCAGCCTTTTTTCATACAGCTTGCTCTTCAGGCCTCTAATCATATGAGTGGCTCTTCGTTGGACTCTATCAAGCTTCTCCACATCCTTCTTGAAGTTTGGCACCCAGAACTGGACACAGTACTCCAGCTGAGGCCTCACCAGTGGTGAGCTGAGTGGGAGAATAACTTCCTTAGTATTGCTTGAGATGCACTGGTTGATGCATGCCAGTATATTGTTTGCTCTGCTAAATGTAGCATCACATTGGTGGCTCATATTCATTCTGTGGTCAATTACGACCCCTCAGGCCCTTTTTGGATGTGGTGCTAGCTAGTGTAGCATCACTGAGCCTGTAAGTTTGTTGCAGATTTTTCCTCCCCAGACAGAGCACTTTACACTTTTGTGTTGAACTGCATCTGGTTCTGATCCGCCCATCTAACTAATTTGTCTAGGTCTACCTGGATCATCAGCCTACCCTGAGGCATGGCTGCACTTCCCCACAGCCTAGTGCAGAGGTTCCCAGTCCCTGGGCTGCAGCCTGGTGCCAGGCAGCAAAGTGTTGGCTGCCAGTCTGCAGGAGGGCTGGTTGCTGGACCAGAAGAGACTGTGGACTGGCAAACCGCAGACTGGAAGTGACCAGCATAATGTGGACGATGAGCTTTAGTTAAAGCACCGCCACTGCCATTTTTCATTATGGGGATGCTGACGTGTGTGATGCTCTGGGCATAGGACCAGCAGGGCCTGGGCCCAAGAGCCTCTGGATACATAGGTTTTGCCCTGGATGTCTGGGAGCTTTTTTTTTTTTTTTTAATATATATATTTTTATTTTTAAGGAAAATTTTTCATGTTCCAAGCCAAATCAATTCCAAATCCATGAGTCATTCAAGAGCCATAAGTGGCCCTACTATCAGCAAACATCCTCCACCCCACTTGGGGCTTCAGTTGCTTCAAATAATTTGGTGGGCATCCTATGTGCAGGCCCAAGCCCAGAAGTTTGGGGTTCAGGTATCCCCAGGTTTTGCTTGTCCTCAGCCATATGGCTGCAGGAGTAATCTAGGGAAGAGTCTCCCAGTTCTATAAAGTAGGTGTAAAGCCAAGACCTTCCCAGTGGAAGATGAAAGCTGGAGAATAACTATATACTACCTCTGCCCAGGTACTAACCCATGCCAGAACAGTGGTCACTCCCTGCCAATAGAAAAACCACTGTGGTGATCATGGTTTTCCCCTGCCAGAGAGCCCCCCCAAATGTTTGGGTTCAGTGTTGTCAGGTATATGGTAGCTATTCTTCAATTTTGACCCAATTCTCATTCACTCACTGGCCAGTTAGGGTCAGCAATATTAAGAAAACAAGAGGGCTTATTTACATATTGTAAATATACAAATAAATATACAAATAAATACTGTTATTTACTTACATTGCTCACTATAACCCATCAGTCAGTGAGTGAGACCTGAGCCTCACACCTCCACAGCAGCATCACCAAGACGGAAAAAGGTCCTTTCCCCTGCTAGAGTCCTAAGCTCTGAAAAGTCTTGATCTAGGTCTGGTCACTTAAACTAGAACAATTATTGGAACTGTTTTAATTAAAGTGGTGTGCCCCCTCCCACTCCCAGAGCATGTCTACAGGCACTCTGGGAGACTGGCATGGGGAACTGAGTCACTATGTTGGGCTCCATGCACTAGCAGTTGTGTAATTGGGATCTGAGAAATTTTGTGCTGAATTCCTAAAAATTTCATGTCCTGACATGCATTTGGCATGGCAAACATGATTTTTGGGTTTGGGCATAAAATTTCTTAGGTTCCAGTTGTAACCTTATATTAACATCTGCCAAGAATCTAGATGACAGGAAAGGTCAGTATTTTAGATAGGTTCAAGTTAGTGATTTTTTGGGGGGTAATTTTGTAACATAACTGGATAATGAATTTAATGGCTTAGTCCACCAAGGCTGTCCACCTTTTAAGCAGCCAGGGGGCTGCCTGCCATGCAGGCTATGTGGACCTTCCCACCAGGGGTAGGGCAGGGACAGGGAGCAGAAGCTGGAGGAGGGAGAAGGTAGGTGAGAAAAGGGAGGAGGGCACTCAGAGACCCCAGCTGGAGCAGTAGCAGATGCATTGTAGGGAGCAGTGCACAACTGGTAATCCACTGACTATGAATTAACCATGGCCACCAGTCGCATGGCCCTGGTTTAGAGTACAGATAAT